TCTCCAAATTTTATGTGATTTATTCAGGGAGAAAAAAGGTTTCTATCCCTAAAACAAGTTGGACACTACTGTCTTAACCCAAAGGATGGGCTTTAATGATGATAATTTCAGGCACTTGGGGGGCAGATAGCAGAGGTATTTGGAGTGATGACAATCTATAAGTATGTCCTGAAAAAACTGACACCCAGGTCTATGCTTGAGGCAAGATAATACTAGAGATAGGTAATGTGCTTAGTAAGTGCCTTATATTAGTCTGGGGAGGCCACACTAAACCTCATGAGCATAAGTAGGTTAAAATTAAGGATGGAGAGGCAAGTAAAGTATGGACTACAGGTGTGGGAGGAACAAAAATTGGTCACTGTACAGTAGGCATACGAGACTTCACAGTAAAACATAGATGACTTTCAAGCTTCTGCCTCTAGCTTACAGCCTTCTTGCTTCTTTCTGGATACTTCCTCCTGGACGGCTCCCACGCCACCCTTACGGGCCTTATCACTCTCCTCCCAACCTGGTTCTCTGGGGCTCCCCATTTTCAATAAAAGATACTACCATCCGCCGAAACCGGTTTGGCTCAGTGGATAGAGCGTCGGCCTGCGGACTGAAAGGGCCCCGGTTCGATTCCGGTCAAGGGCATGTACCTGGGTTGCGGGCACATCCCCAGTGGGAGATGTGCAGGAGGCAGCTGATTGATGTCTCTCTCATCGATGTTTCTAACTCTCTATCTCTCTCCCTTCCTCTCTGTAAAAAATCAATAAAATATATTTAAAAAAAAAAAAAGATACTACCATCCATCCATCACCCAGGCCAGAAACCTGGGCTTCATTCTTTCATCTCCCACATCCTGTTAATCTCCAGATCCTGTCTATTCTGCCTTCAAAACATCTCTTCATGCTAACCTCTCCATCCCCACTGCCTCCACCCTGGCCCACGTCCCTATCACTTCTGACCACAGCTTCGGAGTCATCACAACTTCTTGTCTCCACATGACTGCCTGAGTGACCTTTGGAAAGCAGAGATGTGATCTCAAAATTCCCCTGCTTCAAGCCCTGGGATTGCTCCCCAGTGCCCTGGGGGTAAATTTCAAACTCCTCAACTACTCCAGAAGGCCTGGGTGACTAAGCCCTTGCTTACCTCTTTAACTCTACCTCCTCTGGCTCCTATGAATTCAGTTTGTTTACTTCCTCCACCAGTCTCACAGCTCTCCCTCTATGTTGTCCCCTGATCAGGCTTCCCTTCCATTCTTTAATTGGCATGGGGTGGTAACAGCGCATTCTAAAGAGCTGTGTTTTATGGGGGACCATGGGGAATGTTTTGAGTGTCCAGGCTTATTCTGCATTGAACATACTTGAAATGTTTTGAGGTTGTGTTTGAGATAAGACCAAAACATCACTTAGAAAGCCTGGATATAGGGAGCCAAGTGCTAGATACAAGTGTTAGAGGTATTCATCAAAAGCTAATCTTTTTTTAAAAAATATTTTTATTGATTTTTTACAGAGAGGAAGGCAGAGAGAGAGAGAGTTAGAAACATCGATGAGAGAGAAACATCGATCAGCCGCCTCCTGCACACCTCCCACTGGGGATGCGCCCGCAACCCAGGTACATGCCCTTGACCGGAATCGAACCTGGGACCCCCCAGTCCGCAGGCCGACGCTCTATCCACTGAGCCAAACCGGTTTCGGCTCAAAAGCTAATCTTGATCAACTATCTGTATTTGACCTTGGTTGCTGGGCATAGTAAAGACAGATGCAACCTAATTAAATAGAGAATTTCCTGGAACATGTGTTAAAAATATAGGTTCCCGCCCTATCTGACTTGGCTTAGTGGATAAAGCATTAGCCTCCGGATTGAAGGGTCCCAGGTTCAATTCTGGCCAAGGGCACATGCCTGGGTTGCGGGCTCCATCCCCAGTGGGGGATGTGCAGGAGGCAGCCAATCAATGATTCTCTCTCATCATTGATGTTTCTATCTCTCTCTCCTCCCTTTCTCTCTGAAATCAATAAAGAAGTATATTTATAAAAAAAAAAATACAGATTCCCTGCCCTAATTGGTTTGGCTCAGTGGATAGAGCGCCAGCCTGTGGACTTAAAGGTCCCAGGTTCGATTCCGGTCAAGGGCATATACCTTGGTTGCGGGCACATCCCCAGTAGGAGGTGTGCAGGAGGCAGCTGAATTGACGTTTCTCTCTCATCAATGTTTATAACTCTCTATCCCTCTCCCTTCCTCTCTGTAAAAAATCAATAAAATACATTTTTTTAAAAAATACAGATTCCCTGACCCCACCCCAGACCTCTGAATTTGAATCTCCAGGACAGTTCTCAGGTGAATATTAGAACTGGGTAAGTTGAAAAGACCTAACCTTATTTCATTTATAAGAATATCCAGGCCGAAACCGGTTTGGCTCAGTGGATGGAGCGTCGGCCTGCGGACTGAAGGGTCCCAGGTTCGATTCCAGTCAAGGGCACATGTCCAAGTTGTGGGCTTGATTCCATTGTGGGGCGTGCAGGAGACAGCCGATCAATGATTCTCTCTCATTGTTGATGTTTCTATTTCTCCCTCTCCCTTCCTCTCTGAAATCAATAAAAATATATTTAAAAAAAGAATATCCAGAATAGGCAAATCTGTATAGGTATAGATTAGTGCAGTGATGGCGCACCTTTGACACGCGAACTCATTTTTTTGGTTGATTTTTCTTTGTTAAATGGCATTTAAATATATAAAATAAATATCAAAAATATAAGTCTTTGTTTTACTATGGTTGTAAATATCAAAAAATTTCTATATGTGACATGGCACCAGAGTTAAGTTAGGGTTTTTCAAAATGCTGACACGCAGAGCTCAAAAGGTTCGCCATCACTGGATTAGTGGTTGCTTCAGGGTGGGGATGGGGATAGAGGGATGTGAAGGCCCAAGGGATTACAGTTAAGGGGTGCAGTTTCTTTTGGGGGTGGATGAAAATGTTCTAAAATCGATTGTGGTGATGATTGCTCAATTCTGTGACTACATTAAAAGCCATTTAAATGGGTGAATTGCATGGTATGTGGACTAAATCTTAATAAAGCTGTTTAAAAACAAGTAAAACAAAAAACTTGGACCAACCTCCATAAGGGACTTGAGTGGTGCCTGTTATCTAGTAGAAGAGTCAGCAAATTCTTATGGATATATACAGAATAGGGGGGGACGTAGTTTTACAGTTGTTTGTAATACAACAATTAATAAATAATACAAGGATAAACTGCTTCACGTACTCACAACTGTAAACCTAGTTTTGCCCCACCCTGTACATTGGCAAATACAAAGTAAATGAGCAATTGCAGTGGGGTGGAATTAGTACCCTACTGGGGAAGTGCAGGCTCCTGTGACAGGAGCATAGGGAGGGGCGACTTCCTGGAGAAATCTGGGATGTCTAGGTTGAAGCCTTTCAGGTGAACAGGCTTATTAACAAGGCAAGCCGAAACCGGTTTGGCTCAGTGGA